CCCCAAAACCCCAAAACCCCAAAACCCCAGGGGTTAACGATTTCATTGAGGTTTAGAATTAGGTAACTGTAGATGAAAGATGGGGTAGAGAAAGGAAATAGGGGGTGGAAGAAAATGATGGGAGGAGGAGGGATGGAGGAGGGATGGATGAGGGATGGAGGAGAGGCGAGGAGTGAGAAGTGGGTGATTTGAGGTTGGAGAATTTTGAGTGGATTTATATGAAGATTTAGAAAAATTCGACATTTTAGAAAATTTGGATATATAATATTGTTCTTTTAAATTATTGGAGAAAAATATTTATTGAGACAGCGACCTTAGTCAGATCTGTTGATCAGAGTCAGCTGTTTAGCTTTCTTTTGGCTGCAGAGTTTGTCACAATAATTCTTGAAGCCTTCAAAAGTTTTTCCTGAGAACTTTCCAATTATTTCAGAGTATTTGACATTCTCATAATTATAACTTTTAAGCAGTCTCTTCAACAGCTTGGTCTCTCTAACAGAAAACGTGTCTGTAAGTTTCAGACTGAGTCTGTTGGCTATGAAACGAAAACTTTGTCTGCACCCCAGTTTATTTTTTATTATTTGGAGACCTTGATGAGACTTTAACTGAGCAGCAGACTTAAGTTGAGAAATAGAAGACAAAGTAATGAGTCCTTGTTCTTCACACTCTCTGAAAGCATTAAATAGAGCAATATCTTCATCCTTGCCCCATCTCTTGATTTTGTTGCCTTTCTCTTTTGAAGATTTCAAGCAAAACTTTGTATCTAATACTACATTCTTCTTAGATTCTTCTGACATAAAGTCTTTGAATGATGGTGAATGGACCTTAGATTTCAAGTTGAAGTTAAAGGGAGTACTATTATCTTCATTAATTAAATACTCTTGATAAAAACCTTCTTGGTATTGAGCAATTTCTCTTCTTTGAGACAAAATAGAAAAGTCTTCTTGCTGTTTAAAATTTTTCTCCAGACTACTAGTTGGAGAAAATTTTGCATGTAATATTTCATCGAGAGGATTTTCAAGATCTTCCTCTTTAATATTATCGAAGCATATACTTAGACTATCTCTAGTCTTGAAAAGAGTAAAATGATTTACAGGATCCGGATTGTTTTCCACTTCAAGAGAAAATTCATATCGATCGGAATTTTTCCAGGTCTTATTTTCCATAGGTTTTATTTAATTTTATTAAAAAAAATTGTTTCTTCCTTTATATAGCATATTTTCTTTGTTGGTAAATAGATCCATTCATTCTGATAAATTTTTTTAAGACATTTGAAGAGCTAAACTCATAGAAATACAGATACCCATGATGAAAATTAATTTTAGTAAATAAAATTAAAAACACCCATTTTAGGAAGTTCTGACAAGATTCTTTTTCGCAGATTACTAAATCAACAATAGGCAAACAAGGCCTAATCAAAAGTATAACAAAGCTTAATAACAACAGAAGATAAATAAATCCTAAAATCGAGAAAATCCCCATGGTTAAATAGAAGAAAATAACACTCCAAGTGAACTTCTTCTAAGTGTAACTAAATATTTCCCACTTCTTTCATATCCCAAAGCCACAACGACCAAACTCTACCCCTCATACCCTCCCTTCCTCCAAAACCCCAACATCTGCTCCCTTTCCACTCCTCTTAATCTTCCCACTTCCTTCATATCTCCCAAGTCACCCGAATTACCCACTAAAATTCCATAAATTCTTGGAAATTTATTCGAAACCGACCTAATTTCAGCTTTTGTTCCTAGGTCTTCTCGCCTGTGAAGGGAGTTTTGAATGTGGGGTTAAGACAAGAGGGTCTTGGGAGATGGAGGTGGGTGAAGAGGGGGAGGAAGAAGAAGAGGTGTTAGGTGGAGATGGGGGTAATGGAGGTGGGTTAGGGTTTTGGAGAGATTGAGGGGGGTTTGGGGGTTTTAGGAGGGTTTGGGTGGTTTTTGGCAAGGTGATGGATTTTTGAGTTAAAAATTGTATTTAGATGAGCTAGTTATTAGATAAATGTGGAAGTTAGAATTGATTTGTTTCAGGTATTGAGAATAAAATAACTCCAGAATAATAAAAATTTCCAAAATAAAAACTAACTCATAACATCCAAAACCTCACCAAAAAATCTATATAAAACCCACAATTCAACCTAAAACCACCCATTTGGGGTTTTGGGGTTTTGGGGTTTTGGGG